ATAAATAAATATCGGGGAGGGAAGCAGACTTCGTGAGATGAGGGAAGGCTGTGTCCCAGGAGCTTCTTGCCAACCAGCTAGCTCGGGGGCCCAAGAAACTTGACTCTCAGATGCAATCTGTGGTAGCTCTACCTGAGCCAAAAGTTGTAACGTGTGTGGAGGGCAGAAGAGACTGGGCATCTCAGCTAGGCCGTGCCCTTGTTCTCACCCTCCACTCTGACGGCACGCACAGGTTCAGGCTTGCCGAGCGGGCCAATGTCCATTGATTTCTATTGTCTTCCTCCTTTTCTCAGAAGCCCTAAGGTACTGAAACTGTAGCAACGAGGAGCCCTTTCAACCTTGGCAGCCTGATGTCCTCTTTGGCATGCAAGGTCCTCTGTGGACTCCCTGGGAGAGGCTCCCGAATGCGATCATTTCGACATGTCTCTCACACATCACTTCCTCTGGCAGTTATGCTTTGGCCACCACTAGCGCGGTTCTTCTCTCAGGCATGTGGTTGCTGTGATTTCCAGTTCTTCACTAGATGGCCAAGGCACCTCATCACTTCTCTCACCCACCTGAGAAATCCCCACCCCCAAAGGAAAGGCCTCTCGACCTTACCAAAAGTTTTGACCAAATAAAGACCTGGAGAGGGTTGGCGCTGTTAGCCCTGGCCCCCCGCTAGAAAGCAAAATGCACGTTTTTCTCATGACCTTTGTCAAATGGTCTCCCCGTCCCTCTCCATCTCCAGCAATCTTCCGTGGTCACCCTTGAGCCTCAGGGGTAAGCAGAGTGTCTAGTGCTGAGAGGCTGGCATCCCCAGGTCCATGCTGAACAATGGGTGATAGACTCCCCTCCTTGTATTCCTCTCTCCTCCTTGAGATGTTGAAAGCTTTAATTTTAAAAATTTATTGTGGTAAATGATATATAACATAAAATTGTCATTTTATCATTTTTAAATGTGCTACTTGTCAACACTAATTATATTCCCAATATTGCATAACTAGACCACCATCTAGGTTCAAAACTTTTCTATCACCCCAAACAGAAGCTCAGTACCCTTTAGGTACTAATTCCCCATTCCTCTCTTCTCCCAGCCAATGGTTACATATCTCTAGTCTACTTTGGTCTCTATGCATTTGTCTATTCAAAACACTTCATTTAAGTGGGATTATCTGATATTTGTCCTTTGACATGTGATTCTGTTCATTCAGCACGTTTACAAGGTCCATCCATGTTGCAGCATGTATCGGAACGTCATTTCCCTTTAGTACCAGGGCTCGTTGCTGTCATGTCAGTTCTGACTCATGGCCATCCCATGTAGGTCCTAGCAGAACTAGGCCCCATAGAGTTTTCGACAGACGATTTTTCCCAGACTTTTCTTCCACTCTATCTCTGGGTGGACTTGAACCTCCAAACTTTTAGCAGCCTAGCAAGTGAACTGCCTACAATACCCAGAGACTGTTGATTTCTCACTAAGGCCGAATAACTATGTATATAAGAAAGCTTCAAAAAATGTCCTCGAAACATTCCATTATCTTTTCATTCTATTGTCCACACACGCTTTAAAGTACCCGCCTGTGCCACACTGTCTCCTCTGCTGATCTGCTGGTAGAGACCAGAGACGGGGCTTATTTCTACCTTTGGGTCATGATCACGGACTCTTCAGTGAATGTCAGTGTACAAGTCTCTGAGCTTCTGCTGTTTAAGCCTCTGGGGCATGTATCTAGGAGTAGTGGGATTGTTGGGTCACAGGATAATTTCATGTTTAACATTGTGAGGAAATGCCATGTGGGGGCCTCTTATTTATTCTCCAGAACTAGGCTAAGCCATGACTTTTTCTGAGAAGGTTTCCTGTTTTATTTTTCTCATCCTTGCCTGTCATTAGAGAAGAGGTGAGTGGGTTTGCATGTGTGTGTCCCTGCTAGTTTCTGAACTCCTAGAGTGAACAGATTGTGTCTTAATCATCTGATCAGGACTAAATGACTTTTGATATTATCTTTAAAATGTAAGCAAAGCCCTCGAGAGAGTGATTCTGCCACAGGGTAAGGGACTGTGCTGTAGTTATGAGGTTACTGAGCCAAACAGGAACTGAGGAAGCGGGGAGGAGGGGGCTGAGGACCCCGGAATCCAGGTTCCTGCAGTCCTTAAGCAATTGATACTTCCTCTCTCCACTTAGTTGAGCTATAGATTGGATTGTGTCTCCTGAAAAATGTATGTCAAAATCTTGTCCTCTGGTGCCCGTGAGTTTCACCTGGTTTGGAAATAGGGCCTTTGAAGACATGTTTAGTGCATATGAGGTCATACTAGATTAGGGAGGATCCCAGTCCAATTGGTGTGGTGTCCTTACGAAAGAGAAAGGACAAAGAGAGACCATCAGAGGGAACATGGCCCTGCCAATGCCCTATTTTCAGACTATAAGCTTAAAGAACTAAAGCAATATATTTCTACTCTTATAAGTTACCCAACTAGGGCATTTTTTCACTGCAGCCATAGGAAAATAAAGCAAATAATAAAATGTCCTGACATTGCAGCAGGAAATGGATAGAAGTTTATCCAAAAATATTATCAATATTCATAAGCAAATCACTAGCTTTGGGCCCAAAGGTGGAGAATCCTAATCTTTTTCAACTGTGCTCTTTCAATGTTTGGTCTAGGTGATTGGCTTATGATTCCTGAGGCCCTCCAACCCCCCCTGCCCCCCGCCCCCCATGCCCAGCTTTTTCAAGCATCCAGGAGGCAGAGAGGAATTACTCTTTACTGGACATCAGGTCCCCAGCTAAAGAATTGGCCTGTGAGAATCTTTCCAGGAAGATGCTGAGAATGTGACAGTGGGCTGGGATACTTGAAATCAAGCCCTGACATTTGTGTGACTTTGAGGATGATGTGATTAACAGGGAGCAAGGCTTCTTTTAAGAAGCCTAAATGTATAAATGTGCTTTACACAATTGATGTATGTATGAATTGTGATAAGAGGTGTATGAACCCCTAATAAAATAATTTTTTTCAAA